GGCGGACGCACACTTCCCTAGCCCTCAAGACACTGATAAACGCTGACAGACGCTGGATCGATATTTATACTTTCCTAGTCGCTGATGCTGCCGGACGCTCGAAACGCTAATGGTCGTTGGTGGAGCTGGAAGCAGCTGGTGGACGCTGCCGCAAAGTATGAACGCAACCTTACTCTATTATACCGTATACCGTATTACCGTATTGCAACCTTCCCATCGATTTGCATTCAGGTAGTCGTGAATATATGATTGATCTTTGTGAGGTTTTCACGCTCCAAGAAGGTCAAAGTCCTATAAGATCGGCTACGAACTCATGGCAATTTTTCATATTTAACGTAGTACCTTTTATTTGCTTGGTGAGTTTCTGAATAGATTTATTCCTTATGTGAAGTGAATATCTATTAAAAACTCACCTCCATCCGGACCTAACAACTTTTCTACTTCTATCCGAGTTGTTCGAGCGGAGTCATACTTTTGCTTTTCTGATCTTGACGCAGGAAGGTTTCGTCAAAGCCAAATATTCTGTCTTTGTAACGTGCTTGAAGGCATGCTCCGCAGTGATTCGACACGGGTCCCCAAAGATGCATCCCCTTCTTAGTCGTCCTATCGGAATGGGTGTACTCTTGAGGAAGGCGCAATGGTGGGCTTCGCTCCGGTCACTCATTCAACATGAATTGTGCTCTTAAAAAGATTAGTAGCACAGCGATAACGCGTGATTAAAAGGCCATCCGATTTCATGAATTCGATCCAAAACACCTTTCTCATTCGTGGGTACGTCTTGCTTGTTGCGGATGATGGGGCGTGTCATTGAGGCCTGGGTCTGGCGCGCCGCCAGCCAGCTTCCACAACTGGTGGAGGTGAAGCTGGCGCCACGCCATACCCAGTGTCCCTCTCCTTCCCCCCCCCTCCCCCCTCTGACACGCCCTGTCATCCGCAGCGAAAGAGCCTGTAGACTGATCGGCTTCGCATGTTCAGGAGGGAAATGACGTCCAGTTTTGACCTCCATAGGTTCTTACACCGGACAAATGTTCATTTGGCATGTAAAATCTCAGCTCAATGTAACGCATTTCAAGGGGCTTCCACGATTTTTTTTTGTCGGATTGCCTTTTTTGCAGAAGGTAGCCCAGTTGGCTGCCACAGCGGGTTGTAACGCTTTTGCTAACGCGTCATACTTGGTGATTCGATCGCTTGGATCAATAGCCAACTGGCTAGCGAAGTATGAACGCGTTCTCTGATTGCAAGGGCGCCGAGGACATCAGCAGTCAGTCACCCCCGTCTCAGGGAAGGAGGGCCTCATACAGAGATGAAGGGCTTAGCTCTGTGGTATCGTTTCATCACTCCGTCAACTCTCTCATCTCCCTCTCTCATTTTTCTTTGTCCTTCTGTTCCACGCTCATGGTGTCTCTCAATCCTTTGTATCTCCTCTATGACTAAAAATCGCAGCTACAAGAGAAAGGTCCCATCCAGGAGGTTTTCATGGACTTTTCAGCTTTTTTCGTTACTGCTAGGTTTAGAACTGTCTTAAAACTAATGTCTGGATCCTTAGACCACCCGTGACGTAAAATCGGGAAATGTGCCTTTGAATTGACCAAATTCGGTGCAGTTTGACGACGAGGGGGGGGGCATTTTGCACTTTCGCTACTTCCCATCGACGTGTCGACCTATCTAGGCAGCCTCTTCTCGAGTTGACAGGTTTTACCATGATGGCTAGATGAGCTTGCTCCAGCTTCACAAGAGTTCACAGGTTTCGCCAGAGTGAGACTTGTAAACCGGAACTAGGGAAGCAATGATAGTACAAAATGCCCCCCCCCCGTCGTCAAACTGCGCCACAAAATTCTCCTGTTCTGTGTGAAAGCAGGTGTTTTCAGTTCATCCAGGCCAACATCATGCCAGGTTTGCTGGGTAAGCACGCTCGTGGGGTAGGTTTTGTTTTTGCTAGACAATCCATTCTTCTATATATTATCGGCTATGTCCGTGTTGTGTTTGTTTGTTTTGTCACGAAATTCATAGGAAGAACTTGGAGGGATCGGGTAATGAGGGATGGGTGGGGATGGAACAACATGTGAATAGCACCCGTGACCCATGGAAAGCCCCACCCACAGTGGGCGGGGCGTGCGCTGAAAGTTGGCGATGTCACTGAAAAAATCATAACTCGGTTCCAGAGCAGTCCTGAGATGGGGGAACAGTGCATAAAGTTAACAAAGGGCTGATCGACCAAAGAGAGGAGACACGCCTGAAATGGGCGTGTCACTGGAAAAAAACCATAATTTGGTTATAAAGCAGCTCGGAGAAGGGAAAAAGTGGAATAAGGTTAGCATTGGTTTTCCAGAAGCAAAGCCCAGAGGCAAGATGGAGGAGACACAACAAAAGTGGCGGGGTGTGCTTGAGATGGGCGGTACTTTCCACAAAGGACGGTCGGTACCCGAAAAAGATCAGAGATCGTAGAAAAGTCCATGACGAAGATGAACGTCTAGCAAGAGTCCACCATGTTTGTGGCGTGAGGCCCGCCCACAGTGCGCAGGCCACCCATTTGAACGCGAGGTACCAGATTAAAAAAAATCGTGATTTGGTCCTAAAACACTACAGACGGCGCAAAAAGTGGGTCTGCGTAAGGAGTTCTTGGAATGCCCCCTTCAGGCAGGACTAATGCTGCCGAATTTTTCCACAACTTTCTCTGTCCTTATGCGGTAGATGGGTGTGATGCGGGAGATTTTGTTACGGAGAAAGCGTACCTTGTAGTTCAGCCGACAGACTACGATATCGATTACTCCCTGGTGCGATTGCCGCGCGCTGCCGCTGCTGGCAACGCTACGCCACGCAGTGCGGATTGAGGCGATATATAGGACCTCGACGATGGTAACGGTTTTTTTTTTATGATTTTTAAGGATAATATTTGGAGTGAACTACTAACAAATATAGTCATCGTTGGATTGGCCATAGTTAGTGTGGTTTTCTTCGGCTGGAGACTATACAATAACGTCAAAGATGATCGGGTAAACTTTTGAAAATGTTTCGCGTCTCTCCTATCCCCCTCTCCCTCTCTTTGATGCACCCTGCTTCTGATACCGCAAAGAGGACTCTTCAAGGAGTCTTCTTCATTGGCGCACCCTCCTCATTACATTATCGGGAGGGAGAAGCCATTAAAAAAATCGCGTGGACTTTTCTTCAACATGACCCTTTTCTCAGATATGTACTATTTTCAGGGTTTGGCTTCGTGTTTTTCACCATCACACCGGAGCATATTTCGTTTAAGCGAATCAGTTCAGGATGGAAACGCACCAAGAGATGTGAGATTATGATATTTCTTTATCTTTTTTCTTTATAAGATCACAGTTGAATGTTGGTGGCTGGCCCACGCTGTCACTCGCGACACTTTCTCGAAGGGCGGGATTGTCCTGTCAGCGGGCGGAGCTTCCTGTCAAAGGAGGTAGGGAGGGGATCTCGTGAGAATACTGTAAAACATCAGAAACAATAAGTGGTGCATGAAATGGGCGGGGTTATCCGGCGACGTTACTGATTCGGTGCTTATCGTTGGTGTCGGCGGGCCGAAATGGGCTTCAGGAAGGCGCATACAAGTAGCGCGTTTGGCTATGGCAAGGTGCCTGGCTGGCCGCGCAGTAGCGTGGGCGGAGTATGGGAACGGCACCCAGGGCACCACTACCCCGAGCCCGTTCGCGTACACGTTTGAGCGGAGAAACGCACGTCACTGCACCTGCGGACCCAATCTCCCACTCACAGTCAGAGCCAAGATCCATGGAGGTGAGTGTACAGTTCGTCTTCGAGGACACATTCCGCGCTAGAGAAATAGTTGAATACCCACGAGCCTTCTGCCGCATTCATTAGTGCGCTTCTGAGGGACCCATGGAAGGGACAGTACAATGGTCATGATTCTCCACCCATCCCATTATCGTGGAATGTTGTTTTGACAGCAATCCTTTAATTGAACATTTTGTTCATTTCATGTTCATTTCAGCTCGAGAACCAATAACACCGCCGTAACCGGTTTGAAGAAAGAAAAAAAGAAAGAGTCTGCCTTCAATTCGTGATCTTGAATTGATTTAATACAGTGTCTTTTGTGCATACTTTAACTAAAAAGACTATCTTAACTGTATGTTCGGGACAATTATGGTTGTTATATCCTATTTTGGTCTCAAACCACACGCTGATGATCTCTAATCTAACTCGGCTTCATGCAAAAATAAAATGATCAACTTCTTGTTTTGGAACGATGCCTAACTTTCTGCTCCAATACTCCTGTCACACAGATGACCCTGGAAGCCAGGCCAATAAATCGAACGCAGGGACTCGGGAAAGAGATCTACCACTGCGGCGATGCTCAAAAACTTGCAGAGTATTCTCTAGCTGTTTCAGTTGACAGCACTCCCAATCAGTTTGGAGGATGCTGGACATATGCTGCACTAGTAGCGTTCATATTCGACATCTGGCGATTACATCGGGCGAATTTGAGAACCGCGAAGCTTACCGACGGGTTGGCAGTACATCGCCTAATTCGTTGGCCGCTTCAACTGCAAATACAACGACAAATTCGACGCACAATCTCTTCGACCACTTACACACAGCCGAATATTACCCATGGGAGCAAGTCGATCCGTCACGGCAAGCTCGGTCTTGAAGTACTGAACGCCTCGACGCACTCGACATCTAAACACAACACACGGCTTTTGCACCCCACAACAATCTGAAGCGACACCCCCCTGCCATGATGCTGCGATTTGTTGATCAGGAACTAGAATGCCCGAGAAACCACAAAGTGTGAATTCAAGAAATTGTCAGTTAGGAGTCCCAGTTCCGTCCTACTCACCTTTCCGATAATTCTCCAAAACGGACCACTCTCCGCTTGCAGAGTAACAATCGGAGCTGTGTAACGCAATTACACGCTGACCGCCAGTCACGGTTTAGGTAGCGAAAATGTTGTAGTGACTTCGCACCCCCGACCCAACTACAAATTTCCCCCATCTTGTTCGGTAACTGACACCGATGCGGAACTTGGAAAGATGGTCAGTAGCAACTGGCCTTGAGCGAGTTGCTGTAGAGGCCAGGTCGCAATCAAAAACTCATACGATTATGGATGAAAGCAGCAATACATGGTGCATCATTTATTTATTTATTTATTTATCATGCACGCTAAGGTGCGCCACAATGTCAGCAAGAACCATAGTTTACAGGTAAAAACATCCAAGTAGTATATGAAATGAAAAAAACAAACAAAAATAAAGCAACGCAAAAACACGTAAGTAAGAACCATTCCGAAGCTTGGAATCATCTAGAAATCTTGCATGCCTATCAGATTCATTAAGTCCACCTTCTTCAATTTACTTCTAAACGCATAAATGCTAGGCGCCTCCTGCAGGTCCGATGGCAGGGACTGAATCCATCTCGCTCCTCGGGCAAATAGTGAGTTAAAAACCTGTGTTCGGTGCCTTCCGTATAATTTATGACATTGTAAGGACAGCGAAGAGATGCGGCCGTTCGCCGGTCTGAACACCCAGTACTTACTGGGTTTCAATCTTAGCTCTCCTTTCAATATCTTGAAACAAAACACAATATTGACACGGCTCACTGTACATAATATTGAGATGAAAAGCTTAAGGCGGTCCCTATAACGTAGCTAATGGTAGTGACGGGTCAGGGTAGCATCTATACATCAAAATTCTGGTAAAAGTTTGCTGGACCTTCTCGATTTTCGCTTGCAGTTTCTTGGTGTGGGGGTTCCATATTTGTGAACCATATTCAAGAATGGGGACAACATAAGCCTTATAGAGCTTCAACAAGATTGAAGGATCATTTTAGATTGAAAATTCCTGCTATGGCAAAAAGGTTGTGAATCGCTTCCCGCACATGTTCAATGTGATGCGAAAAGAACTCTAAGTGGTCAAATTCACTAGGAACCCGAGGTCCCGAACTTCATCAGAAATACTAATTGACTTTCCGTTAACCGTGTACGGTACAACCCTGGCTTCTCCCATATGAAGAACAAACGTTTTTGAAAAGTTCACAGGTATCCCCCAAGCGACAGCCCACTCCATAATGTTACATATAGACTGGGTTAGCGCTCGGTGCGCATCCGCGTGAGTCATGATTATCCCTGTCCATGTATCCTTTCTTATCGAAGAGGTGGTGCTGAAGCTACAGAAGCCATCTGCGTTGTCTTGTTCGCTGCTAATGATGAGTGTGGTTAATGAGGATGGGTTTGACTTGGCGTCAGTCCGCCCTTTTTCTTTCGGCGATTGACAAGACTATATCATCGCAGGAATAGCCGATTGTTCACCAACAGTTATCCCTTACCCGCTTTTAGGCAGCGTTCATACTTCGCGACAGCAGCGGCGATCGCGGCGATCGTCGTACGCGACAGAGCGCGCCCCAACGCTATTACTTGGACCGCTCCGAGTGCTTTTAGGAAGAATCGACTCAATTTCATGCTTTTTTCCTTTAACTGCAATTTCTCAGGTACTGAAGCTTGGTTTGACACAAGGAAAGGTGAACCCAACTTAATGGCTTTTGTTTTCTATTTTCTTTCTTGATTCAGGATAGAAATGAGCAAAAAGCGTGAGAGCTTCATTTAGGGTAGGTTTTTATTGTTTCTTTTTTCATTCGTCGAGCTTATACATGAGGTTATAAAGTTTTCACCTGTTGATGTTGCGTAAAAGAATTAGTGTTTTGGTTCCTAGGTGAGTTTCTTTCTGTTTCTTTTTTTGTTGTTTGAACTCGACTTGCAAACTATAAATGTTTTGGAAGTTGTTACAGTTTAGACAGTAGTAAACTTTAAAGACGCTCTTATAAATTGAAAAAATGAAAGCAACAGCCTTACCCTGACCTAAAAAAGGTGAAACCCCCTACCTCATATTCCAGATCCTCTTATGTACAGAAAGTCGTAAGTTTTCAGTTAGTAGCCATTATTAAGAGAAAAAGGTCTCACAAGTTGGATTTCCTTATTTATCAAGCGAGTGGTCCAATTAATAGCGTTGGGGCGTGCTCTGTCACGTATCGACGACGCCACGCCTGCTGTCGCAAAGTATGAACGCTACCTGACAACTGGTGGAGAGCGCTTTGGCGACGTGCCAAACCCATCCTTGACACGCTGCATGGTCCTGTTGCGAAACCAAGAATTGCAGACGGACAGAGGACAGCGCATGCCAAGGCATGGAGACGTGCAAGAAACTATGAGCCAGGAAACGAGCTTCTTCAAGGGGAGGGGACGGGTGGGAGAGTCACTTATCATACGTGAAAAGCTGGAATGTGAGAGGTTACAATGACCATAGAGTGCTATGCGGACGAGAGAGAGCAGTGAAATATATAGGTTGGAAGGAAAGTCCTGTCACTGTTGTGATTTTTTTCTTTTTTATTTTCTAACTCAACATGAAATAAAAACTAATCAATAATATAATCGCCATTGTTAGCCACTACAGTGCTCCACCTAATGGGCAAGTCAGCTATCCCCTTCTCCCAGAACTGGGGAGGCTGCGAGTCGAAGAAGTAGGCAACTTCTCGACTGATGTCATCAAATTCGCTGAAGGTTTTCTTACCTAAGAAAGCCTTGAGGGAGCGGAACAGGTAATAGTCGGAGGGCTAGTCTGGAGAATATGGTGGATGGGGTATGGTCTCCCAGCCTAGCCCAATTTGTCGGTGGGCCTCTTTAGCCACATGTGCTCTGCGTTATCATGGAGGAGGTGCACCGAAGATCGTCTCGGCCGCTTTTCTCGAAGAGCTTGCGCGAGTTTCTGGAGTTGGGCGGTGTAAACGGTAGCGGTGACCGTTTGCCCTTGCGGGAGCAGCTCGTGGTGCAGCATGCCCTTCGAATCCCAAAGCAGCAGAGGAGGACCTTCTTGGGGTGCAGGTCCGATTTGGCTTGCGTAGGCGGGTCTTCTCCTCGAGGTAGCCACATGGCACGGCGCAGGTTAGAGTCACAGAGCACCCAACTCTCATTTCCAGTCACACAGATGCTCACCCTGGTACATCGCGTGCCATCTGTTAGAGCACGAGATATCCATCGCGTGAGGAATTTTCTGTAGCCAAGGGCCTGAAGACGGCTGAGAGCTGTTGATTGGCCGGATGAGAGCTTCACCCGAGTCTCCAAGGAGCTCGCAATACTGCTTGTGGTGGCCCCCGGATCCTCTGTGACAAGTTCGGGAACGGCGGAGTCCTCCACCCGTGAGGGCGCCCCGATCGAGGTTTTTCTTCGAAGATCGTCTCGAAGCGAGCGAACCAACGGTGGACAGTCCTGATGGTAGTGGTGTCCTCTCCCCACTGTTATTACTGAAAGCTGCCGTCGCTCCAGTGCCGCGGCGCCACTCACGCAATTGCTGATTCCGATAAAGGAGACCAACTGCTGGAAAACGTCTATACGAACGATATGGTAGTCCTGTCGCTTGTCGAGAAAAAAACAGGTTGGCTCAGCGCCAAGCGCGACCGCGGACACGCCATATCATTGGCGAACCAGAGTTTGAGTTGTACTGTTTAGTCACCAACGGACTTACGAGATAATGTCGACTTATTAATATTTGCAGTTATTTCGGATTAGTTTGATGAATGAAAGTTTTGTACTATTTTTTTGCATATCCGAGTTCTCTACAAAGCAAGTTTCGCTGTACAGGACTCAGCACATTGACAATTTGCGCTGCTCGTTACTGGCTGCCGCACTCACTACGACCCCCCCCTCTCCTGGCGGCCAAATACGACCCCCCTGTTGGGGATTCCCCAACCAACGATGTGCCCTGGTTGCGGTTGCTATTGCCTCAAGCATTTTTTGGGCGGGAAGCATAGTATAGATATTGTTCTGGCGTTTTTAGTGCCGATCGACACCTTATACATACTTTTCGCTCAAAACGCAGGTATTCCGCTGAGAAGATTCAAAACGGGATCGATAGCTAACTTTCCTTTTCGCCATAACGGAAAACCAAATGGGGAACTTTTCGCCTTCCAGATTAGTGAACGAATGTTGTTGCACTATGCACAACTTTTTCTCCTCATTTCAGCACCACTCCTAGAATGCCTAGTATCAGGTTCCAACTGCGAGCTTATTCTTGAAGCTGTGAATAGGGCTGACTATGGATCTCGTACTCGTACTGTATTTCGTTCAGAAAAACTATGCTTGTCATCATTCCTCGTATCGCAGGAAACCAACAGGAAGCAAGCAGGCAGTGGTAAACACACGACAAGGAGGCTATACTGTCATCAGAACCATATATAAGGATATTGATGATAAATGCCCTGACCTTTCCAAGTTCGAGTAGTGGTTTCAATATAGAGAACTGAAGCCACTACTCGAACATGGAAAGGAGCAGGGCATTTATCACGGAATGAATGCTGGACCTGTGAAGGAGAACACATGCAAAACTATTTTGTTCTACCAATTTAATCAATTTTCGGGGAAGTCTCGTGACATTTTCATCTGGAAAATGCTTCACTTCAGTAATGTGCAAAGACTCCACTGCAATGTCATGAGAAATTCTGACCCAAATGCGGACTATTTTTGATGAGTGCCATTGAAACCCGAATACAAGTACATTTACAAATAGAAAATGATGTATTGGAGCATCCAACGGGCCTATAGATCTTACGAACACTACTCCATGCAATCGTTCTAATCCCATACAACCGTTCTAATCCTTTGGATCTCCTTCGCATCGCAACACATAGGTCCCCCATGCAATTTCGAGTTCCCCATGCAATTTCGACGCTGTTGTGAGATACTGTGTTTGGTGTGCATCCAGATTTATTTACGGCTCACTTGGGGACGGTGTCTGGTTGTTCGCCTACTGAGGTTAGCGTACGGTCCCTTCACCTTCCTATTTGAAAGTTCATCTGTTTCCCGCTTTAAATATAGCAGGAATCATCTGTGCACTGTCTCAAACACGTTCCGGCGGATCTTTTTTGTTTTATTCTTATTTGCTTCAAGTATGCCGGGAACCATCTCTGAGCTGTTTCGGGCATATCTCGGCGAGGAAGGAACGGAAGAGCAAATGGTGTCATCGCTTGCTGCGAGCAGCGTGGTCCCCTCGCCCCCCCCCCTCTCCCCAAATACAAATACATCGGCTCTTCAGCGCGCTCCACGGTTATGCCCGCGTCGCAGCCGCCGGTGATCGTTTGCTGCACATTTTGGCCTACGGACCACTAAAACTCAATCACTTTGGTGGCGCCAACTTTCTGGTTCTCTGCGCTCTCTTGCCTGAGTGGCGATTTATGGCCACTTTGATCTTTCACATTCCAACTTTTAACGCATACTAAGTGGCTCATCCACCCCGGTGTCTCCCCTCAAAAAAACATCTCCTGGCTCGCATCGTGTTTTTTGTACCTCACGATGCCTTGGCAGTAGCAGTCCCTTATTGCTCTGCGCTCTGGCCTATCGTGGCAGGACCCCCACCAAAAATTTTAGTTGTCACGTAACCCAGATTTTCAGCTGTTATCTGAAATTTTTCCTTGAATTTTGTTATGGTTTGTGCATTAACTGAAAGGGATTCGGCCAAATCACCTTGAAAGCGCTGCACTAGGACTGCCCTTCTCGTAAGCACGGCATTCTTTATTCTTCAAGTCTATAAACAAAATTCATTCCTTGGCGAATGGCAACTCTGGTTTTGTTTCTCATTATTTATTTGCAATGTTGCATAATCAATCGATAAAGGCCATGTTTCGATGTTTCTGCAATGCTGTCACTGTGAGACCATGTGTTGAAATACGTCTATGTGCTGTCAGCTTTTGATCTTTTTTGTTCGCCGATTTCTAGACTGTCATCCTCTTGGATTGCACGTCATCCTTTTTAATACCGAAAACTGGCCCATCTGTCCAATGTGTTCCACTCAGTTTAACCTCACTGCAGAATCAAAGTCAATCAACGGTATCATCCTGAGTTGCCTTCCTATGACTGCTACATCGTGACTGATAAATGATGATGATGATGATGATGATGATCTGCGTAATGATTTTCGGCGTAGTTCGGCTAAGGGGGGGGGGCATTTTTCACTTTTGCTACTTCCCATTTGATTCGTGTTCATTGTTTTACAAAAGTTAACTGGAATTCCTCACAAGAGTTGACAAGTTGCTCCCAAAAACTTTGACTGCTACACTTCATGGTTTCACAAGATTCCAATGCAAAATGCCCCTCCCTTCCTAAGCACGCATTTGCACTATTTTTCTCGCGAAATCATTTTTTCGATTAGGTACCCTTTTTTCTTCGAAACCTTTTTCAGGTTGCAATCCAACCACGGCAGATGGTTCGTTCCTCGCGATTACCTCATGTACATTTGGCGATTATCCAAAAATAAATTTGTTCAAACCTAGTGGCAATAAAGTGTCATGTTCCGAACACCAAAGCTACGCGTTAGGGAAGCACCCCGGTTTTGAATACATTAACTGCCATTTGCATTGATTTGCATGCACGTTTTTCATCTCCTGTTTTGCGCATCACCGAACCGATTTTAGCTGCTTTTCTGGTTGGTTTTTCTTTAGGACTGAACACACGTTATAAATGACTTTTGCCAAAAGTTGTATTGGTTGTTGATACTACATTTTTATGGCTTGATTAGTTGGATGGCATAATCCGTAGCCAGCTTTAGGCGCATTTCGGCGGGGGGGGGGCATTGATGTTACGTAAATACATGAAGGGTAGCCGTTTAATTGGGTTTCTTCGGCGGCTACCGTACCCCCACCCCCGGTTTTTATTAAAACTGGTTCATTAGTATTTATCCATGGGATCCTACTCGGACCAAAAGATGAAGAGACCTATTACTCACATTTTGGAAAAAAATCACATGTAACAACATGAAACTACTGACGCTGCCAGGAACTGTACAGCTTTTATAGTTTTACTTCTTTACTCTTACTTTTTATCACATCGAAGCGTTCCCTTATAATACTGTTCCAAATGATCGTCATTTGCTTGGTGCAATGAATCTTTTTAAAGATGAACCGGTGCTTCCAGAGTCTGGACGTTCAACATCAAGGATATTCACTGGTACTAATTCTCTTATGCAGAGCCGTGTCAAATATGCCTACCTTAGGGATTTAACAATAAATTTTGATCACTTGAAACTACGAAAATCAAATCCATCATGTACTGAGGAGAGAAGGCAGCATCCATTTCTGCCAGTTCGAAGTCACTCCACGGCGACCACACACGCGGTTTCCCCATAAGCGTGTAGGGAGAGGTGCCAGGTGAGGTCAACGCTGCTGAAGCAGCACTCCAAATTCCCCACAGGCGAGTGTATAGGGGTGCCAGGTGGGGTCAACGCTACTGAAGCGACACTCCCAGCCTCCCCACAGGCGAGTATGGGGAGGTGCCACGTGAGGTCAACCATATAAAGCGACATACTCTCTCGTTCAGTAGCCTGCTGTACCCTGCTAAGAGTATCTAACCCGATAACACGGCTGTTCATGGAACCCCGCTCGAAGTGTCCAATTCGACACGTTTTACTTTCGGACTGCTTCGCCACCGTCATTTCATAGCTACAAGGAATTACTGGAGTAAGTTCGCTTATACACTATGAAGTTAACTGCCTTTGCTTTAATTGTCAGTGGCGTGCGATGGGCACGCCCCATTCATAAAATGCCAATTCAATCACCAGTTTAACTGTTCTCGCACCGCCGCGCTAGTTGGTCCTGCACAGAAAATGGGCTCAGTTAATGGTACATGTTGCGAAATATGAGCATTCGTGTCCAAAAGCTCCCTGACATTCATTCTGCTTTCTGCGATTCACTTAATATGATGCATTCTGACAAGTATAGCTGCCCTGTCTGTGGTCAGGATATTCATAAGAAGAGCTTCTATCGTCAACTACTCTGAGGATCATTGTCTCGGAATAAAGGAAGAAAAGAGGCGAGCGCATTCAAACTCGTATTGCCCTATCTGCGATGAGGGCTTAGCTAATCAAGAAGAACTGACAAATCACTGCATGGAGTTTCACCAGGACACGGCGCTGATGGGCGATGTCAGGATTATACTATCTTCTCGAAGAATGAAGAAGAATACAAGGCATGATTTGTCAGATTGATTCTGTTTTCATTTTCCGATCTTTTTTGTTCATACTTCGCACTCTTTTGAAGTAGAGTCTGTGTTCACGGTAGTCAAGCCGGAAGTACCCTAGGAGGTGTATTTTTTTCGATCTTTAGCAGTAGTTGTCTGTAGAGTGCGAAAAAAAACTGTATAACATTTTGGACAAGGTCGAAGAACAAGTTAAAATCTGGAACGAAGCTGAACCTGTGGTAACGTTTCTCTCTATCTTTACCGCTTTATTCTACTACTATACATTCACAGATGCTCCTCGAAGGTGTTATCACTGTAACAGGTGTAATCGCGCGAGGAAGAGCCGTGATGGGGCCCAACGAGGGTTAGAACGGGCCGAAAGGACATCGTACACTGTTCCTGCTTCTTGAATGTGGAACTTCGTAATAGTGGGATGGCAGCAGTTAAAGGATGTTTCGGTCATGCTGGGCACGGCTTGGACCTTTATCCGATGAACAACAACAATACTAAAGATGCTTCTCGAAGATGCTCTCACATGCTGTGCTCAATGCCTTCGAGAAGCAGTTTGTTGTTTTACGTGGGTGTAAAAATTAATAAAAACATGTTAGATAATACCATCAACTATATAATACAACCCGTACGAAGAGAACATCGCAAGAAGGCCTCGAGATTGTTTTTCGTCTCTATAAACGATCTCTGGGACTTGACGAAGAAGTACAAGATCAGACCTGGCTGTCGGAATAGTGTCGATATCACTTCTGTGACCAAGCGCGTGGAGGAAGAGAATCCGTACGATGGCATACGTTTTTTTTATCGCCTGATGACTCTAGCGGCAAGGGTTTCCTTATGGGCGAGCTCGAATTGGTTTAATTGAGTTGCCATGTTACTAAAATGTGCTGAGCTCCGAGAGCAAAAAAAACATTTCAGTTATTGTGACGCCCCTACAGTTGAAGCAGTTGCTTGCCTACTCTTCTAGAGGCATAAGCCTGGACGACAGTCGTCACAACACGCGATACAACATAAAATTAGCCACTCTCATGGTGGCCGACGAGAAAGATAGAGGACTATCTCGTGAGTTCCTAGACCAGGCTGCATAGTTCTTCACGAATAGTAATGACGAAGTTACATTACATTCTTTCAGCATTTCTATTAAGCAATACCATGACGACGGATAACGTTTCCAATCTGTTCAAAGTAATCAAAGAGCTAATGCCAGACTTCAATCCAAGGAGAATCGTGTAACGGTTTATCGAAAAAAAGTAAAAAAGGGAAATGGGGTGCAAAGATATAGGTGCAAAGTGATAATGCAGAACATATATATGTACAGCAAAAGCAGGGTACAGCATCGATTTGGGAAGTCGGTTTTAGGAAGTAGTCCCCCAAGCCTTTTTCCTCCGGTGCGGACCTCACTGCCCATTGGTCACCCCTCCGACCCTCCCCCTCCCCAGTGCCCAGCTGCCATCCTTGACCAGATTTTCTCAACGATGATGTGCCCTGCTTACAAACATATCCGCACTTGTGTCTTCTTCGTCCGTCCGTAGATCGAGATTGCATTGCTGTGTCTTCCGCGCCATCGTCCGCCCCTCCGTGGCTCGCCTGCTTCCATGTTACTGAAAAATGCAAGTCACGCCACTTAATCAGTTGGGTGTTGAATTATTGTAGAAGAAAAATCCAAGTGAGGTAGAGAGAGTGAAGAGATGATCGAAATCGTGGAGAGAATGGAAGACGCACCCCTTACGTACGCGATTGTCGGGTGATGAATTGCGACATTCTGCGACAATAAGTAGTTATGGTTGACGTCCGAATGAAGGTGTTGCGGCGAAGGATGGCCTTGAACCGGGCCATCTCTCTGTTGACGTGACGACGTCGTTATCCCCCGGGCGAACACGCTTCGGCTCCGCTCTCCTCTGTAAATAAATAGTGTTGGGAAGGAGATGTAGGTAACAGCTGGAGTGAAAACTGACCCGGTCAGCCTGGTCGAGGGTTCCTCTGCCTTCCCCACGAAGCCGTGCAGTGCGATAATGAGGTCCGCCATAGGGGGATACCTCACTCCAAGCACAACTCCCAGTTCTCTGAATGTCATCAGATATTATGAGACACGAAAACGTTTCATAACCGTCACGAACAAACCTGTTGAAGGCTTCCGCTACATTAGTGGTGCGGAGACTTTTCTTGTTCCATTTGTTGCCACATGTCCCTGAAAGGGCCCTCGTACCACTTGCGCTGAGGGTAGTCGAGGAACTGTGCGCAGTACTCATACGCACCATGTCCCCTAGGAAGTGGTGTGTTCCACCTGCTTTCAATCCTCCTACACCGTTGGGCCCCCCTTACCTGCGGGAGCAACCCAAGATCATCTCTTTGTCTGTTCCACGCGCGCGCTAAATGGAAAGCGCACCCCTCTACTGATGCGCTTGGGAAGCACCTCCTGGCCGCGTTAATGGCGGCTTTCTCAAAGTCCAATACAATTCGTATGTCCTCTGGTCCGCCAGCTGCGATGATGGCATCCCTCACTGCCCCAAAGATCCGCTCGTATATACGTTGATTTTTCCTGGAACCACAGCAAAGGAATAACAGAAGAAGAGACAGCACAACCATGCCGATATCAAGCAATTAGACTCTCACCTTAGTGCAATCGCGAAAGCCAGGGGAAATCCCTGAGGCCTGGCGCGACTCCGTGCACGGTGTAAAGTTGCCCACGCTTGTTTGTGATCTGCGGCTGAAGGTCGTGGACCCCATCAGCAACCAAGGCACGAAGCCCCACACGACAGGCCTTCTGAAATATGATATTGGAATCAGATTGCGAGAAAGAAGCACGTTAACGGGAAAACTCACCGCTATAACATCTGGAGAGTAGTAAATGTGCAGGTCCGGGCTCATGAGCTGCAGGAATGGCGTTCCATTTCGTAGAAAGGCGTACTCCCGCGGCACATTGTCCATGGTTACCCGCCTGTCGTGGAGCTTCGCAGTTGCCCTAAATGTCCACTTCATTTCATTAACCTCTAGTTGGCATTATAAGTTAATGCATACCTTGCAAACGCTGAGCGGTGATTCGTAGCCATCCCGTAACGAAGTAACCAAGCATTTCGTCCCGCTCCCTTTCGTCTAAATGGGGCGAAACATAAAACTCAGACCTCTACTGAATGGATGTATACAAGCTGCTTACCAGAAACACTGTTGTGAACCTTGAGTAGCACCTGCTGGTAAACCTGTCGCGGCTTAACGTGCGCGAAGCGAGCTTCCCTTGGAACTTCATGACACGTCTGCAACAGACAGCATTATGAATGGAACAATCGTTATATCACAGTAATAACCACTTGAGTGTTCATGTGCTACCTCTATGCCATACGGTCTACTCGCTCCTTCGAGTTCCTCCATGGCATGCAGATGTGCGGCAGGTGCACGGGATCGCCAACGAGGTTGTATTCATTGACCACCTTAAACTATAAGTTCACAAAATGCTAAACAAGCTTCAAATTTCGCATTACCGCAATGCTGACGGTCTTCCCACTCTTCCGGCAGCCCGTGCAGCGGTACACGACGTTGCCTTGCGTCGTTGTTCGCAGGTGCTCAAACAAATAACACAAGGTCTGACCTGTAAAAGAATTGTGATTGAACAGCTTTTAAACGAGCTACAACGGCGGAAAGAGGTCTGACTGATGTACCTGGTATCGGGTACCTTATCACCTTGTAAACTCCTTGCTTACTTTCCTCCAGAGCTCCACGAAACAGCTCGCCCGTAAGATTTACCCTTTGACGAGGGCGAGGATTGCTGCTGGCTGAAACAGAGGAGCACAAACCTTGAAATTCCTTGTCACATAACAGCAGCAATCATTCCTAGACTATTTCGACTTACCCCCTGATGTTGATGGTCGATCCACGGGCGATGCTGTTGCCTCGTTCGAGGTGGACGGGCGGTCGCCCGCAACACACCTTACTGAAAAATATTGAGAATAAAGAGACTGCACAAAAGATAAAACCATCAACTGGCGTATTCTTGCCTTTCGACCTTATCGTGGTCCCACTACCTGTTGTAGGCAAGTTCATGATAAACCTCTAAGAATTAAACATGAAAAAATGAAGGCATAAACTCCAGTAAGTCCCCTCTGTACACTATTGGCAGAACTGTTATACCATTATCATTACCTGAGGCCAGAGCAGCCATCAACAAAGGAAAATTAGCAAGGTTGACACGGTTTGTGTCCGTGCCTGAAAATGCTATAATAATGTGTCATAAATGTTCTACAGGCAGTTCATCTTACTTTAATTAAATAATACCTGACCCAAGAGCTATTGGCGAGTTGTAGAGCTGTCGCCGCCCATCTTTAGTGATGATTACCTTGTAATCGTAATCAACTGTCTTGCCCTCATTAACGATGTCCCAACATTAGCAAATCAATGATTCCCTTCAGCAAAGCAATGTTTTCCGTTGACAATGTAAGGCCTTCGTTAGGAATTCTACGTTAGGAATACCACAGAAAACCTTCACGAACAAGTTCACAAGATGAGGGTATCGCCGCGAGAAGAAGAATCTGTCCCACCTCCCGGCTGATGAAATATATTGACATCTTAGGAATTTTCTTTTCTTCCTCTCCATTTTGATATACTGAGTGCAATAAAATTCTTGATTTTCTGTTTCTTCCTCTTCATTTTGATATACTGAGTGCAATAAAATTCGTGATAAGTTTCTCAATTCGAGTGATACACATGCTGAAATTTTTAAGCAATGGTTCAGATGAATATACATACATTTCGAACGCCGTAAATAACCATATAAGTGAAGGCAAATGGTTTGGGTAAGCTGCGAAACAAATAGCTGGGATTGATGTGTGGTTATATGGCGAATTTAGAAACTGTCATGTCTTTGCGGTCATGACAAATAAGCGAGTACCCACAGTACTTCTAGAGCAAAAGAAGTGTAAGATGTTTTATTGGAAGTGATTATGGCATCGCACTACAAAACCACGTTATTAAATACAAACCTAGCACCCCACAGCGACGTTCCATGGGCCTATAGGATTTTGAACAGGCGTGGGATTACGGTAGGAGCAAGTGGTACGCAATTACACGGCTACCCCTCGCGTGTTTACGTAACATCGCGCGCATTTTGTCCCTTCGCTCGCTACTTTTGCGTGATCGTGTTAAATTACACGTCCCTTGGTGACACCTGTAGACTTTGACAGCTGTAAACGACGCTGCTGCTACTGTACATTTTCACAGGAATCCACAGGCTCTTCAGAGCCATGGGCGCTGAATAATGGGAACTGGGGAAATGCCTTCACGAAGCCGAACTGCGCATCCTCCCCCCCCCCCCATTCCATACTGCACCACAATTTTCGCACAAAGAGTTGCCACGTCGGAGCTCCTTCGTTCTTGGTTTTTAGTTAGGCAAATTTGTTCATTTCATGGCTCCTTATCGTTTTTTCGCACATGTCAGCACAAAATGTTATCGGAATAGCGCAGTTTCTTAGTGTCCGCCCCTGATAAATGTTCCTATGGTGCTTATCTTTTCTTCAGCTCATTTCAGTTATAGAGCGAATCGGATGTCCGTCAAAGTGGAACGCTGCCTTCAAAGACCTGCCTGCGCTCCGGCGCACTCATCCATTCATCGAATAGTCTCTTTAGTGGATAGAATGGTAGCCTATAAGGTACGTATATTCATTGCTGTTTCTTTGCCGTTGGACATCACCACTTCAAAACTGGGCCACATTCTTTTTAATTTGAACTAACTTCTTTTAACTATTCAATCGTACTGTAAACAAGAATTTGTTCGTACTTTGTGGCAGCGTTTGGAGCGTCTCAAATCTCTTGAGCGTTCTTAGCGTTTTGAGCAAACTAGTGAGCTATGGATATGGATCTAGCGTCCACGAGCGACCAGGAGTAGAGAGTATGGGGAAGTAGGAGGCAGCAGACAGCTGGATTAGGCGTCGTGAAATTGTGGCGGATGGGACCGCACTGTACCACTACACAATCCTGATCGCTAGTAGACGCTGTAGACGCTAGTTCGATACCCCTACTTTCCTATTCCCACGAGACGCTGATGTCTGCAGGCTGACGCTGGTGGACGCTGGCAGACGCTGGTGGACGCTGGTAGAGCTGCCATTCGCTAGACCGATATCTATACTTTCCTAGTCGCTGACGCTGACGGACGCTCGAAACGCTGATGGTCGCTTGTGGACGCTGGTGGTTGCTGATGGACGCTGCAGCAAAGTATGAACGCAGCCCAAAGTATATGTATGCATCCAACGTTTTTAGCTATTAGCCACTTGGAAAGTATAGAAATCGATTGTTGCTGAAAACGCTGGCGGACGTTCAAATACTGCCGCAGTGTGTGTGTGTGTGTGTGTGTCTGTCTGTCTGTCTGTCTGTCTGTCTGTCTGTCTGTCTGTCTCATTACAGTCACCCGGTGTAACTGGAGTCGGTATTTTGCAACATAGGGCTCCCATCGGAATTTCTTCCTCTTGTACGACCCCCTCCCTTTGACCATTTCTTCATTATCTATCCCACCTAAGGTCTTCTTTCCCAAATTTTCTCAACTTCTTAACGCTTTCCCACTTTATTCAAAGTTTTTTTAACCAGAAATTCCTCCATTTTCCTGCGAAAAATTGCCCTAGAGCGGGGAATGACCGTGCTTGAAACAGGAAAAACCGAGAAAAGTCAAGCATCGAACGACTAAATACGGCCCCTGCCCCCGTGTGGAGATCCCAACGTATGACGTGCCCCGAGTTGAGCAGACGGCTGCACGGCCTGTACGTGTGCATGCTCCCTCCGAAATAGTGCTGACTAACAATCGATCACTAGCACATCTACAGCAATCTGTACCACCTAGTAACGCCTTGACAATCCTCTGAATCTCTGTCCGCGGGAAGAAAAAATGAAAATTCGGTGCTAACGTATTTGGTGGGGGGGACCATGCGGGGCGCGGCGAGTGATGACTCATCTGTTCTTCCGCTTCTTCGAGTGACGAGCTGAAGTGAATCGATGAGTGAAATGTGATTCTATTGTGAGGAAACCGCTCAAGATTCCAATTTCTGCGATTTGATAGTGAGCTATGGAGTAGATTTCTCTTTGGATTCTGCGGACCATCCAATTTATTGATAGTGTCACTTTTACGCAAACGAATGGGTTCACCTAGGCCGGAATTCATTCCCTTGTAGTTTAGGCAAGAATCTTCCAGCCTACTATTGTTTCTTCGCACTTTTCAGCATTAACTGTTTTACCTTTTGAATATAGCACCTTAGGGCGGTGTTATATTCATGTCCTAAACATGAAATTACCTCTATTTTGCCGAGTAGGGAGCGAACAGATGAGTCATCGCTCGCCGCGCCGCGTGGTCCCCCCCCCTCCCAAATACGTTAGCACCGAAATTGGGCAATATTTCAGCAGGGAAAGTCGGTTCACCCAGGGGGGGGTCGAAGTCGTCGCAAACATTTATCTGTGCTTTAATCGTTGCAAATAGGATACCGTTATCACCTGTTGCGCGATTGAACCGATTTATCTATCCTAGAGATCCTTTGCTGTATGTCTAGGCAAAAATCCGGCGCAGTTGACTTGGTAGGGGCATCGAATGGTACTCAGCGACGCTTGAACAGGCCGTTCTATGAGGACCTTTGGATTTCTCTTTCTGTATCGGCTTACTTACGCAGGTGCACGAAGTTTCTCCAAAGTGTTACCCAGTTTTCGAGATGAACTAACAAAGGGAACTAGTGCAATTGTGGAATGCCTCTTCTAGCCGAAAATCCTCATCCTTTGACCCGCATTTCTTCGCACCCTTCAGCACCCACCATGGATGCCGTCCTATAGGCCAAGACGTACAAGTGAAGGTCGTAGGCATTTTGTAGCACTGAAGGGTCCCTTCTGCCAATTTGGCATCATCGATAATCCTCACGAACTATTGCACTAGAATGGTCCACCGTAATGGAACGGGCCCACTTTTGTTGTGGTCAGCCGCTAGCCTTTCTTATACCACTGGTCCAGCCATCTGTACTAGGATAGTGGTGTCCAGAGAGAAACTTTTCTCCACACGAAACCACAAAAAGCTTTCCTTCTTGAATTGGTACTGCTCAGATGTGAAATACGTTTCTCACCAAAATGCTCAAAACGATTGATCAATGCCTTCATTCGTTCTTTTCGCCCAAAAGACCCATGGAAAGTAGGACCCTTGCCTGAATACGCGTGGGGTTTTCAGAAAGCGAAGTAGATATCCTACTCCTAACCATAAGCTGAGTCGCAGGTGATGTAGTGGGAAATTGCCCGCTTATCGCGCTCGGGTGTTCAAATTTGGGTCGACTCCACTCAGACCACCCACGCCCTCTACCCTACGAGGACGGCGAATCGATACCCGGTTCAACCTGGGAGGATAAACACTGACTTGCATATCGGCTCCTCCTGCTAGTCGATGTATGAGCCATACTGCATTCAAAATGCCTCTGAGATTCTGAATGGAGGTAGGCAAAACTCTCATCCGTATATACGTCAAGTGCTTAATCCTTTTACTCACGCTTTGCTCAGGATTTGGACCTTTTAATTATATCCTAAGTCTCCTTCAAGGCTCGCGTCCAAATGTCCCCAAGAAGGTGGGAGCTGCTTTATGGGTTTATGCCTCTAGTATGTGCGTAACTAGTTTAGTATACTCTTGTTCGCTGTGGATGATGGGGCGTGTCTGAAGGATGGGTTTGGCATCCATCCTTTAGACACATTTTCTCGTTCTCCAGCAGTGGTTAAAGCAGACAAGCGACAACAAGCGGTGGAAAAGAAAACGACTGGTTCAAACGAAATGTACAGTCTTGTTGCTTACCAGCTTCAATATTTGGTGGAAAACGGCGCTATCCCAGAGCGATCCCTTCTGCATCTGCAGCGAAGAAAACTAATTCTGATGAAGTACTATTGTAAAAACCATCAAGATGTGTGTAATAGATGCTTTTTAGGTATGGATTACTTGCAGGACGCGAAGCTATGAAGTGCGTCCTACCCAAGGATTTCTGGAAGGTGGTAGTAATGTAACGTTAACAGTTACTCCAACGGGTAACCGATACCCAGAAGCAGATCTTCGTGTTGACTGGATTGAAGTGGATCCAATGGAGCGCAGTATACGAGCTGCGTTTAAAACTGGAAATCGTTCTGGACATATCATTCATCCGCTGAATTCGAAAGCTGTCTATAGTGATGAAAAGTTCCCAACAGCTCTTCTAAGAGCTCACGCTGATCCATATGCAAATGTGCGACGACCATGGGTACTGGTTAAATTCGGCCGCAGGACGCTAGCAATACGAGAGGAGGATGTTGTTTGGTGAGATTATTCTAAGGTTTTTATTTATGGTTCCTCCATTTATAAGAATATCACTAGTTTGACTAAAACCTCGGCTTTGATAGCTCATCATATATGCCCTAGCTCACAAAATTCAAGCCAGATTTTGATCATTTACCAGATATAATTTACCATCAACCCTCGCCTTGGCGACTACGGTGAAGATGATATCCTGGACCGTAGCGACGTTGTCGGAGCTGCTCGATGTTGGAGGTCTTCCAGATCAAGAGTGCTGGTCTCCAGGTACCCATGGGTGACTCCACACAAGAAGTTTCGCAGCTCTTTGAAGGTGACGTGAATTCCGGACGAGCCTGCTCCTGCTTATCGAGGAACATCTTGGGTATCTTCCGCCCTGGTACTCGTATCCACGTCTTCTGTCTGGGCTGCGAAAACTTTGCTGATATGTGACTCGGTCGAAGTGTTTTTTTTTGCCCGCCTCCCCCCGTGTATGTTGCAGCCAGCGGACACCGTCGTTAACATTACCGCAGTTTTCCATTTAGGACCGCAGTTTCCAAGATATATGATGCGTTGGGCTCTCACCAAGTGATGTTAGAGGAGGCGCCATTGTACTACAGCCTGGGCTGCGTAAATACCGAAGAGGTAATGTTTAGGCAAGAATGAGTTCTGCGACCGCAATTTTTTTTTTGCAATTTTCAGGTCTTAAATGAAATGCAGCATCGACTTCATGAACGAAACAAAGGCTTATTCCCTGTTCTGCTGCTCATCGATGACTGTAATTCCTGTATTTTGTTTTGTAGTATGACTTGGACAAGTTGAAGTGTTAATTTACAGCTGGCGGGCAGTTTTCTCCCAGCCATCAGAGAGCGGTTTTCCAATGAATTCTATATATTCGAATTAAGAAGTGAAGAGTTAGCGGATATTGCTGCCAGTACCGCTGAAAGACCTTACGAAAACCTCAGGTGAGGGCTACTTTTTGATATCCTTTCGTGTGAAGATTTCCATTGTCTGTATTATTCAGCGAATGGTGTCGTGAATTTTCATTGCTTATCAAACAGACAGAGGGTGGACAGATTACGGCATCAAATGTGGAGGAGTTATTGAGTTAAGCCTGAGTGCCAATGATTAGGGTTCGTTCATAACTTTTGCATTAGCGGTGTCTCACGACTAGCACGAGATCCCAGACGCGGCGTTATGCTCAAAACGGCTAGACCGGATGCCTATAATTCTTAGTCACTGACAAAACGCTGGCGTACTGTCAAAATTTCTTACCTAAACCTGTACTTTCCTAGCGCTCAAAACCCTGACGCGGAGCATGAATGCGTTGTAAGTGCAACGAACTGTAACATAATTTTTCTTAAGTAAGCCTGGGCCTTCAAACGATGTGGTTGGTCCCGAATATTCGAGCCAAAAAGAAGATAATGATGTTGCGACGCGTGAGACTTTGAAGTAATCGGATTTTAGTTCTTGTTTATGTTTTACCTCGTGAGGTTTTGCATGATAATTATCTAACCATAAGATACTGCGAACTATCTACAGCGGTGTGGAGCTCAGAATTTTCATTCCGAAAAAAAACCTTGCAAGGCTATTAAGCGAAGAAGACTGACGAGTCTTTTGTCTCCTTGACTACTTTGTGAATCTTGGAAAATGCATGCAAAAGAGGGTGTCATCATCGATCTGCAGGGTTCGGAGATTCCCTTAAGTCGCGGGTCCTCCATTCGCTTACTCGAAAACTATGAACCGGCCTGTTTCCGAACTACCGGAAAATATAGGTGTCCTTCCATGAGACGGGAACAGTTTTTATATGTCTCTTTGAACCTCGGTCATCTTGTATAAGAAAGTAGTGTGGGATAGTCCCGTTGATTTGGCTTTTTTTTCGTCAGCTGGAAACGGATCTTCCTAGCAGGGAGTTTATTCCACCAACTGAGGTGGGATACCTTCATAGTTTAAGAGGGGCTATACTTGCGAAAAAGTACGTTGACAACCGGCTTCCATCTGTCTCGGTTACACGAAGATGTGTTCTGGTGCGACAGCTTGGCAGAGAATACCACAGCACGTCCACGTTTCAGTCGTAACACTGGAATCAGTCGGGGGTGTGTCAAGGGCGCGTGGGCTTTGGTACGACGCCAGCACCTACCCCACTCTCTTGTATGCCCTCAGCTGCAACGATTGATGAGAAACGGAAGAGGGCAGCGCTAAAACCTTTGCGCCGCTGACCCTCCCCGACTGATTTCAGTGGTAATGACTGTAAAACAATTGGCTCCCGTCCCTTGCGGATGCCACGCACATGGCGCCGCTGGCAACGCCACTTTCGAAAGTTTTTAGTGAGTCTGTTGCTGCTAGAATAAATGATACTCCTTTG